CTATAAAAAAATTCTATCGAAGTTAAACTTCGATAAGAGGAAGCATCGAAGTTGTAACTTCGATAAAAATTTTATCGAAGTTATAACTTCGATAAACATGCTAACTTCGATACGACATATACACTAAATTTGTCTATTCCTCCATCTGATGTTATTGATCTGACGCAAGATATTTGTTCAACTGTTCCTGGTGGTGATCATACTTCACCAAGTACTCTTGCAATAACCTGCAACAAGAATTACTATTTACTCATAAGAAGTTAGGTCCTTTGACGAGGTGGGACAAGAATTTTAAGAAAAAATTGGACGTTGGCGAAATAGGTTTTCCACTGCTTCACATATATTTGCTATGGAGAAATTTTCTAGCAGACCAGCAACACTATGTAGAAGGTGTATATTCAATTCTAAAAAGTAGCGTCTAAACTAAAGCGCTTTTAATTGCTTAAATGTTCATTTTCATACACAACTTTTTTAATAAAATCTATTTGTCCAAGTGAGACATAAAACTACGACCTTCTACAGTGTGACCGATAAGTAGCTTTACGATAAAAAAATTGAATATCTTCACTGTGTTTCATGTTATAGGACTGGTCGTTTGTTACCGTGGTAGCGAAGACTTCTGAGTTTTTCTCGTAAGAAAAATATTTAGAAATATTGCTTCGAAGTATAATCATTGACTTCAATGATACATTTTTATCTTTACAGGCTCCAGAAAAGTACACATACTGTGGCTTATAAATATATTTTCGGCAACAATCTTACACATTAATAAGGGCAAGTCAAGACATAAGAGCTTTCATTCAAGATATGAAACGGACCCACAAATAGATCAAAGTTTTGGAACAAGCTAATTTCAATGTTCAAGTACACCCGTAATACTTTATCAATTATTAGATTTTCCTTGAACATTTTGTCGGAATATTTTATATTTTATTAATTAATAAAACTTGATGCTGACACAAAACTCGAACTAAGAGAATAGTTTTAATTAAAGTCAACTTCTGCGCGATTGAATTTCACATCGATGCCTAAGATTAGTACAACATCTACAAAGCTGAGCTCATAATTCATGTGCTTCTGTTACCTTTTTTTATATTTGTCTAATCTCTTTGAATCAATAATAATTTTAAAAAAATTTCTCGTTTGTTATAAACCTCAGTTCATTTTCATAAACTGTAAAAATAGTGAAGAATACAGATCTATGAATTATTGAGAAAAAGAAGAGTACTTTTTAGATGCATGTGATCGATTGTCTCATATAGAAATAATCTGATTAAATTAAACTTGTTCGCCAGCGGGTCAACGCAGACAAATGTAATTCGGCGTGAACATATTTCAACACGAATTTACTTCCTTCTTCTGCTCGTTAGCATCGTAGTGATTATCATATATATGATCGTACCAACAGTTACAGTGAACAAGAGAATTGAGGCGCCATTTTTAATACAATATGAAGAATTGATTATTCAATAAAGTTCTATATTTTACGATCCATGAAATCAGTTCTCTGTTCCTTATCAAAAATTCGTCACAGCTGATCTTACATATCATCAAATATGTTCGAGCGATTTTATCAAGGAACCATGAATACTATTCCTGTCTAGTGATCACTATTCGACCATTTTGGCGCGGAGCGATTTTCGCGTTGGTGGTGACGTTTTTTTTTAAACTCTTGTCAACATTATGCAAGCTTGCACAAACTGCTATTCAGGAAGCGATTAATGAATTTCAGACTAAATCGTTTCTGAGCGCACAAGCTATATCGGAATTTCAAGTTTTCTCTCGAATGACTGACATAACGAGTCAGTTCGCAACTGATACCACTCTTCGCTTTGCTCATGTCATACAACTTGTACGTGGTTTCATACATGGCAATATATTTGTGTCCAGCTATGCCTTGAATTGGCACTTCTACTTGAATGATTATAAAACGGATGAAACTAGGCTGAACTCTCCTGCCATTTTAAATAATCAGTGCTCATGTGGAACAAGGAGTGATTGAGTTGAACCGGATCCCTTTTCTTCGGTGATACCAGGATGGGTTCTTGGTTGTTCAGTATTGAAAACATTGCTCTGATCCACTTTCGAAGTTTGGTACAGTCAAAAATTGATTGATTATCTAGAAAACTATTTGACAAATAGCGATCCAGAAATTATTTCGGCAACGTTTAATGCAACTGCGATGAACACTTCATTGATTAGCCGTTTCCGACCGAACACTACTACTCAGCAGACTGTTGATGCGCTACTTGTTGAACAATGGCATTTCAATGCATCGTATCCTTCATTTTATCAACATTGTGCCCCGATCTACTGTCTTCATACAGTCAATGAGCGCAACTATGCATCATGTGTTGTGTCGCGAATCTTAAGTCTATATGGTGGTTTAACTGTTAGTCTTCGCTTCATTGTTCCTTACAGTGTTAAATTATTCCATAAATTGAAGTCCTACATTTGCACTAACTGAATCATACGCTTCGTTAAATTGATGCATTAGCTTTCTGCGATCATGTTCGAGTAATAAATAAAGGAATATTACAGCGGATCTTAATTGAATTTTATCCCTCTATTTATCTTGCTTATGGCTGTTGAGATTTTATTGTTTTTTGATAACCATTATATAGAAAGAAAGTACAGGCTTTGCTACATCACATGACATGTTAATCATCAACTACAAGTAAAATTCAGAGAAAAAAAGCTCGCATCAGAAAAAAACGATGGTAATTTCTTTTACTACTTAGGTCTGATCAAAAGTTCTCATCTCATTAAATAGTAATATAAAGATAATGAGATATTTTCAATTTTATTTTATCAAATGTTGAGAATAGTTACCATGATTATTTATATCAAGGTCAATCCTTTCTAATAATTTATTAAAAGGTTTTTTGACCTCTTTTTCTAAAAGAAATTTAGCTACCTTGGAAACCACATGAGCTAATTATATTTCATTTGTTATAAAAATTTAATGGAATTTTGTTCGATCATGTCAGTTGCATTCTAGCATTACTAGTGATGTGATATCGATTTATTTTAGATAGGTTAGTCATAAGTCATCTAATGCTAACTGGCTTATTGAAGATGAATCGTCCAGACTGTTGTTCATGAAGACAGATTTTAACCAAAACTTTGTTTAGAATATTCTTTAAATCAAATAATCCTGAATGTAGATAAAGGCAAGACTGTATGTCACAATTATTATATTGAAAATTGCCCGAAGCCTTTTGTTAATGAAATATGGAAACAAACATGGACATTAGATTCAAAATGTACAAAATTGCTTGAGGATCATCGTTGACTTCATACTCATCTAATGTTATTAATTCTATGATAGAAGAAGGCATCAACATAATGTCATACCCAACATATTCGCTAGGCCTGATACTATATAATTTTTGGTTAACTAATTTTATCGAATTTAGTTTAAGTGATTAAATAAATGAAACATCACTAGCTCATGTGGTTCGCAAGGCAGCTAAAACTTTTTAGAAAAAGCGGTCAAAAAAACTTTTAATAAATTATTAGAAAGGATTGACCTTGATATAAATAATCATGGCAATTATTCTCAACATTTGATAAAATAAAATTGAAAATATCTCATTATCTTCATATTACTATTTAATGAGATGAGAAATTTTAGTCAGACCTAAGTACAATTAACAGTTAGTTCGTAGTCAAGTCAGTTCCCGAGTAGTTTATGACCTGATTGGTGCTATTAATAGGTCACAATTAACCATTGTATGCTTGGGTGTGGGATGGGTTCGTGGGTTTGGATGTGAATATCTTTTCTTTATTCCCACCCACACCCAATTAGTTCAGCAATGTAAAACCTTAATCCTTAAAATTTTTTAAAGTTATGTACCACTGCTTTTAAGATAAAATTTGGGCTCATGTTAGAAAAACATCAACGATAACATATGTCATCTGATGATAGTGACGAAGATGAAAATAAAAAACTTGAAACTATACCAGATTTTGTTGATGAAGAACGTGAAAAATTGTATTTATATAAAGTCGAACATGATGGTGTGTATAACATATTCCACTACTACGTAAACCGAACTTTTTTTTTCTTAGAAGTTAATCCTGATGATAGTATTGATGGTGATCGTAATGATGATGATTAAAATAATCTTGGTAAACAAAAAGCAACAACATCATCAGTTGATAATCAAGTTGCTGAAGAAGTAAAATATAATTTTTGTATTTTTCATAATTATTCAAATCATTTTCATTTGATTTCTTTTTCTACAAACAATTTATTCAAAGAAATGAAGCAAATATTAAAACATATGCTGATTGTCGTCGTGATCATGATTCAAAACGATTTCTTGAAGGGAATTTACAATTAGTTTGTGAACATACATTTACATATTTATTTAATATGTATATCGAATTAGATATGGAAGATGTAAAAAATTTTTATTTTTATTTTTAAATTTAAAAAAACAAATATTTTTAGAAAACTATGCGTAGTGATCGTTGTACTCATCAAGTATTGATTATCAAACACATTCTTCAAATAATTCAAGATCTTGGCGTTGCTTCAAAGCAAGCTGTCAAATCATTTTTCGAAAGGTCAGAGTAATTAGTTTTTTAATTAACAAAAAAGATTTTATTTAGAATGAAAGATGAAGATGGAAAATATAAACAACAGTTTTTAAATGAATTTGGTGATTTTCAATTAACTATTTATGTACGTGCATTAAAAAATAATGATGATCTAATGAAACAAGGTGAAAAGGAAAAACGTTTAGGTTTAGGTAGTTTGAATCACATGGAAGTATTTAAATCATCACCAAAAGTAAAAAAATATTAATAATGGTTTGTTTTACTTTGGGTTTGTTTTAGGAAATACAAGATTGTTTTGAATCACATGATATTGCACAATTAAAACAAGTTTTATCTAGAATGATTGAAGAAAAACGTAATTATTATCTTAATCAGTGTATTACGGCAGGTTTATTAACATTAAATGCTGAAGAAGAAACAAATAACAATGAAAAACAAAAAAACGATGAAAATAGTACTTAAAATGGTGAAAAGATCACAAGTTGAAAAATCAACAATTAAAAACATTGAACTTTGTTTACACCAAGAGAGGAAAAGCGTGACTTGCTGTACCTCAGCGTACTCCCTGTACTCTTGGGCTGTAGCAAGGGTTTGTCTGCAACATTTTGTCTTATTTCAACACCTCTAGTGCTCATCGTTCCAGTATAGTAATTGGAATTCAGCCTGCATAGGCTGGTCAGACGTCAGAGTTCAAATACTTCATTGTACTTCGCCTTTACTCAAATCTGAGAGTACAGTAAAAATACTATGGTTATTAAAACCAATACAATTAGCAAGCCTATTACATTAGAACCAAATTTACCTTCAGGTGCTGGTGTAATAATTGAGTTTCGTCTAGCAACTATCTTGTTGCTATTATTCTAAATGTTTTTCATAATATACCTTCACACTGGAGTATTCAATTATTTCTTAGATCGTACAATTATGAATTCATCATTAATTCGGCATCTCTATCGCAGTTCATAAATACTGGAAGACTTATTTTAACTCGATTATCAGAATACATCGGAGGTAGTATTCATCGTCATTCCTTTCTTAATCGATTATTAACAAACCAATCATTCTGGGAACGTGTAATTAATGTAGAAAAAATCGTTTGTTTTAAAACTTGATACCATTTTTTGTTCGAATTCGCCGTATAAATTTTCCGATTTTCTCTAATGGGATTATATTGGAGCATCATGGCCATCTTCATGGGAAACTATGACTGGTGGTGCACTTGTTGGCAATGGAGAATTTTCACTTCGTAGTCGATCGAAAACACTTACATTAATCAAGATAAAACCTTACAATATATCAACCTATGAAGATCTTTACTTTGCAAAATACATGCCACTTGTTGGTGGTAGAGTAGCTCCGCTTGAAATAGCACAAAAATTCTCATTCGAAGGTCACCATTATGTAAATTCTATGGCTATTCACAAACCATTTGGTGCTAACTATGATCGAATATGTCAATTTTGCCCTGAAGCAAATCTTATTTCACCATTTTGCCGTTCTCAACCATCTCCGTACCCGTTTACAACATGAAAATTTAACGCTACAGGATCCCATTGAACATTTTTTCCATTGTAAGTTATTTATAAGCGGCTTAGATTAGCTTATCTTTTCGCTTAGAAAGTCCTTGTAAGAGCACATTTTAAGCCACTTAAAAGTGCTTCAAACATATTTAACGCTTATGAGCGATTAAAACAATAGTAAAAGCTCTTCCATGTCGCTTGTAGCAGCTGAAAAAGTCAAATTTTAAGTGCTTACTAGCTGCTTAGAACTCATCTATTGGACAGCAGCTAAAAAGCACTTAAATGTAACAAAATTCAGTACTTTGTAGCCGCTAAAATTCCATGTAGCTGAAAAGCATTTTATAATTTCGTTATATCAAATCTTACAACGGAGGTGTTTGTGTTCATAATTAAAAAGATGGGACATATTCGGGTCAAATGAAAGCTCTCATCACCAATCTAACAAGGTTAAAATATTAGCGGCTAGTGGCATGCCTGGGCGGAGATATTTGAATTTTACTGTATTTAGAGTGTATGTAGGATGCTCCCAGTTCAAAATCTCAGCAGAATCTAGTATTCTTTGTTGTGATGGTTGGATAGAGCTCATCGAGTTGTATTAGAAAAAGTATATTTCAAATTTAAGAAAGAGATTTTAAATAAATTTTACGAAGGCCCGGAATTTTGGATCTATTTTCCCTTATATCTGAAAATAATGGTAAGTTGAAATCTTTGTCTAATTTTTTTTTAAATCTCTTTTTAAAATTTGAAATGTACTTTTTCTAATGCAGCTTGACGAGCTCCATCCAACCATCGCAAAAAAAGAAAAATAGATTCTGCTGAAATTTTGAACTGGGAGCATCCTACATACACTCTAAATACAGTAAAATTCAAATATCTCCGTTTAGACACGCCAACATCCGCTAATATTTTAACCTTATTAATTTCGCGATGAGAGCTTTTATTTGACCCGAATATGTGTCGTCTTTTTAATTATCAACACAAACACCTGCATTATTAGTATTGATAGTAAACAACATAACATTGATAATCTTTTAATCCTTTTTTCTCTCTTCGAGTTGGAGTATTTTATTTTTCCTTTCGGTTTTTTCTGTTGATATTAAACATGTTGCTTTCTAGTTTTTTCTGGTTAATCATTTATTCATTTTACATAATAGAATTTTTGTTCCATTTATTTTAAGATTCTGTTCTGCTCAACATGTCACATAAAACAAGAATGACAACTGACACTGAATTGATGTTTTTACCAGAACATACATAAAATCCTTCATTTTTAACACTTTTTCGATTAAAAATGACGAAATTCAAAAAGAATTTCATTTGATTAAACTTTTTTTTAAAGACAAATCGTCGAACACTTGCAATAAATCAATCACTAAAACTTGTTTCACGTTGTGTTTATGGATATTTTACATCAGCTGCTTCTCGATTAACAAATGCTGTTTCAATTATTTTAAATGTTTCGTATTGATATGTTCTTTTTGTCTTTTCTATCAATTTGTTCTGTATAACAATTAATTTCAGCTTTGAAAAATCAATTTTATATTAAATCAGATATATTTACTTATTGAAATCAATGTTTTAAACATCTCGAATGTATAGTTCATAGTTCATTTGTTGAAGTATGAAAATATCATTAGAATTTTCTACGAAAATCTTTCTGTGAAGATTTGTAAAGTTCATCACAAAAATAATCAATGATATGCAATAAAACCACGTTGATTAACTAAATTTTGTGATAAATTTAATAGATAGAATAGTTTGAAAATAAAATAAAACAAAAATCTTTCAAACCGAATACTAGCAATAAAATATTTAAAAAATCTTGTTCTAATTCAGCACGTGCAACATATCAAAATATTCTTAAAATAATTCATACATGGAAAGAACATGACCGTTTAGATATATTCATACTGCACTCTGTCATAGAAAGCATACAGAATATGATGTACTTTATTCTTTTCTATATTAAATATACTTATGAATTATTAAAATTTATAATATAAGGAAACAATTCACAAGAAAACAAAAGAAAAGATCATCACATAAGAATAAATTGAGGACTGTTCATCTTCATCGTAGGACATATTAAACAAAGAACGACCTTCTTTTAACTATAAACCCATTGAATCATTGACAATTTCGATTATTGAAAAATCCGTTATTGTTGCGCTTCTTAACGAATTAGTCCATTTTCGCCGACGACGATTTTCGCCGAATTCCAACTTCTCCGAAAGAATTTTTCGCTCATTTAATGACCCTGAACCACACTTACACCTACACCCACATGTGCACTCAGTCCAATGTCTCCGTCAGCAAAAAATTCTTTCGGTGAAGTTGGAATTCGGCGAAAAGAAATTCAGCAAAAATGGAAATTACTCTTCTTAACGACATCGGTCAAATAGAAAGAATGTGTATATCGTGAAAGAAACGACGAATTACAATATGAATTAAGAAATGTTATTGGTTTTTCCAAGTAGCAATACCAATCACGTTTCTTAATTTAGTTTTAATTTGTCTAGTGTGTTTGATCGTATATAAATATTGATTTTTCTCAGATAACACAAATAGTTATGTAAACGTAAATATGGAATGTTCATGTGTCGAATTGAATGATGTAGCCGTTGAAATCCTTCTGATCATTTTTAAAAAACTAGACAATCTTGATGTGCTTTATTCTTTCCATGATATTAATAAACGATTGAATAAAATTATACGTGATCCAATATTTACAAATAGTCGAAACTTTGTCAAATGGTCATCTAAGAGATTTAATAAATTTTCTTCTAATGTCATACTTGATCGATTTTGTTTACAAATTTTACCTGATATTTCTATGAAAGTCAAATGGTTTTATCTTGAATCATCATCTGTAAAAACATATTCTACGTGCTGCAGATTATCCTAACTCAAATGGGCTTGGTCCATATAATATTAAAGAAAAGACAGCTAGACGTCTTTTTACCGGGAAGAAAATCTGAATAGAATTCTTTTAACTCTAAACAAACGAGAAATTTCTTAAAGTAAATGCGAATATTTTGCTGAAATTATTAATACAGATGAATAGGTCATTGAATATATGAAAGAATTTTTCTAATTTATATTTCAATATAAAGTTATAAAAGAATCATTTATAGAAATTAATATAACAGAAAATATCCTTAATGAATATCAAACAATATTAAAAAAAAAGAATGTTTGTTACTTTTAAGAAATTTTTTTAGAGAACGCAATGAACAGGAAAGAGTGATTATTTTTAAAAATAATTGGTTTCTGTCAAAGATTATCTTAATCTATTGACTATTTGTGTTGATCATTGATATATATATATATATATGTTTTTTGATTAATAATTGTATATCTATGTGTTTAGGTGAAATTCTTTCATCTGGTATTTTTAAGAAACAAATAACAAGACTTATTATAACAATTGATTGAAATAAAAATGATTCTTTTACAATGGTAAAAATATACAGTCGTATTTTTTCTGTGTTTATCAACTGAACACATTTTATGTTTTCTGAATAATTATATAAAAATATTGTCCGTTTATTATTTGATGTTTCATCTCGGAGTTTTTCTTCTTCAAGTCTTTTGGTATTAAATATCAAGGTTCAAAGTTTCTCACAGTGTCTTTATCTTCTAGATGGTCGTTTCAGTCAAGTTCATACAATGTTTGTTGACTTGGTTAACATTGTTTTTTCAACAGAACTAATGGGAAATAAAGTAAGTTTTAGAAGAAAATAAATTTCATTTTTCTGCTTTTGTTTTTCTAGGTAAAAATCCCAAATCTAAATTGTTTCGTTCTATCATGCGCTTGGGAAATGTCATGCTATGATGAATTAATGCTGCCCCTCGTTATCGAATGTCAAATTTAGAAAAACTTGGCTTGTATCTTACGATCTATGTTAATGAGATATTTATTTATGGAAATCATTTGAAGAAAAATATTTTCAATCGTATACCACAATTAAACACATTTGTAATTGATATTCATTCGCTTATGTTTACTAATAATCAGATGAAGTTACCATCAAAAGAAGATATTTAATGAATATTCAGATTTTCACTATACTAAAATAATATCTTATGTAGATTATTTTCTAAAAAAAAATTGGGTCAATATCATGTTTATTCATATCCATCTGAAATGCAATATTATCAAAAGATGACAAATCATTTTCCAGGTAGATTATATCAATATTGTTCGTTTAGTATCATTATATGATGACCATGCATCCTTTTGAACATGAATTTTTTATTCGAATTTCTCAATCATTTCCATTTATAGAAAAATTATCTTTGATTAATTGTTAATCACAGAAACATAAACAATCTTATAAATGAATAAATCATAATTACAATTCATCAATTGTTAAATATAATTATCTTATTACACTTGATATTGAAAAAGTTCATGATGATTATATACAACAATTTTTATTTAATACAGAAAACATACAGTGGGCGTCATAAGTCTCGCCCTACTTTTGTATTTTGAGTCGTCCATTTGAACTAAACAACGTTGATTTAATTTGATTATATATTCTTGTAGCGGAGATCGAGCACTATCTGTATACACCTGNGGTATAAGTTTGATAAGTTCATTGATTTGATTTTGTTGACGTTCAACTACACTGCAAAGTCTTCTTATGTCCTCTTCTATTTCCATCAATTCCTCATAGTCAACTATTGAATCTAAATTTCTGATCAATTAAATAATTTGTTCTTTTACAAATTATCTTACTTATTTGCGAAATTTTTCTTTGAGTATTATCTTCATTTGCTGATGTTACTATTAAGTTTTTCAAATGTGAATTTTCTTTCTGAACTTGTTCATTTTTTTCTTTTTGTTCAATAAATCTTTTATCATGTAAGTCTAATATTTCGTTAAATAATATATCTAAGTCTTTCATATTTTTTTGATTTAAAGAATATACTGGTCGAATTAAATCAACAAGACGTGTTATTAATTTACGATCACAATCGAATTGTGTATTCATTCTTTGTTTAAGGTCTTGTCGATAATAACTTAAAATTTGTTCAAGTTGGTTAGTTGATCCGTCTGAATAATGTTCAACAAATATTTGATCGCCTTTACCACTAGAGTTCGTTTGATTATTTTGATCAAAAACAAGATTCGATGTTATTGGTTGAGTTCTTTTCGATGATTCATTAACTTGTTGTGAATGTATTACAACAGGTATACGAGCACTTATAGGTGCATCATTATGATCATTCGAAAATGAAGGATTTATCATAGTTAAATCGATATCATCCTATTTAAAACCACAGAGAAAAATGTAGTGAAACTTGTATGTTGTTCAAATTTACCTGATTGCCATTGGGAGAAGAATTATACATAGACATAGGAAAGAAGGAATGACTTTTTTTTTAATCTGTTTTGTATATATAACTACAAGAATGGAGGTTGCCTGTAAGAATGAAAGAAAAGATATTATTTTCGTAAAGTGTGTAACCCAACGATTATCATTTCAAAAAAAAGATAACTGACATTTTATGAATAGATAGGGACAGTAAAATTATCAATATTTACTCAGGGGAAAAGATCTGTTTTATGTTTAGACTAGTTGATTTAATATTGAAGTCATAAAAGAAAGAAGACACTAGTGTTTCATTGTTAAATGAAAACTTCGATCTAAGATTCAGCTCATAGATAAATGTAATAACCCTTGGAACATCTTGAAAATTTTGGCACCAGTTTGAGTGGGTTTTTCATGAGTACAACTTAATTCAAAGAACATTTTTTTTGAATGGTATTTGAAATTTTTCAAATTAAGTACTTTGTTACGTACTTCAAAAGTACTGCATCTAAATCTCCACGTTATCAATTATCAATTTAATTTCATACTGACTATACCGTTTATCCTGTTGAGATAAAAAATATCTTTGAAAATTATTGAATAAAAGTGCTATTTATTTATTATCTTTTCATATAGATCTATGAAGATTTTTCAATCACAATTTATAAAATAGCGAATGAATTTCAAGAAACAAACTATATTTATAGTTTATAATTATAATATTAAGTTATGATAATGAACACATAGGTTAAATCTCGATAAATAATCAAAATGCAGATTTATTCAACAAAATCTGAATTCTTCTACCATCTTTTCAGTTTCCATATTTGTTTCATACATAAATAGATTGATTCAATAATCAATAATCCGTAAAAGCCTATAATTAATACAACAGAATAATGTTCATTACTTAAAGAAGAACATTTTGTATTTGAAATATTCATTTGTTATTTTGCGCGAAAAAAAAAAACATGTTATCAAAAGAAATAGAACAAAATCAATAAAATTTTTAAAAAAATATAATCACAGATAATTATCTTTATTTTATATGCGTGTGAGCTTTGATATGTTCTTGAAATTGTTGTTCATTCATGGATAATATATTAAAGATAGCTTGACAAATTGGACATGTACGAATAGATTGAACAAAAACATTTGGTTTGACTGAGCGAACAGATTGATTAATATTGTTGCCTATTAGATAAAATTTTTATGTTAAAAATAATTATATTATAAATAGAAAACACATATTTCTTTATTCATTTATATCACAAAGGGTGAATATATCCACATGGATAATAAATATCGATATATAACGGGTGCAACAAAATGAATGACGGTCTCAAATTTTTTCCAATATCTCGACATTTTCAAGATAGTTCAAGATTCTTTTTTTATCGAAATATTCACTTTCGAATTCTCTAAAAAAAACCTATATGTTTCTTTTAATAACAGTATACTTCAGAGTTTTTTTGACATGCAAAACAAATAATTAGTGTAACATCGTTATTCGAAAATTTTCATTGAAATTGAATAGTCAAACTAATTCATATATTGATTATTCCAAGCAGAATGATTCTTATGAACATAAAGTAGAAGACCGTCATAAAACCATTAAATTAAATAATGGTACGTCAACTTATACTATCATATTTATGAAGTATAATTTTCTAGAGAATTCAAAGGTGAATATTTTGATTAAATAAAAACTGTCTTGAACTGCCAAGAAAATATTGGAAAAATATTGAGATCGCTATTTATTCTGCCGTACCCGTCATATATAAATTTGAGGATATTGAAGATCTAAAGAAAATTTATTTTGTCTTTATTTAAGAATTGCCACCAGGTTCTCTATAACAATCCGACAAATGTTCACGATATGCTTTGTCATCATTGCCTGAAAATTGTTGGTTACATATTGGACATTCAAATTGTCGTGGCCCGTCGAAAGGACCAAGATCATCCATACTTGCTGAAATCAAACATGTTTCGACATGCGTATATATCTGAACTTCATCAGTAGTATCTAGAAATTCATAATTGCATATAGGACATCTTTTTTTGCTATTATGTGATAGTTGACGAGGGACTGGCGACTTTTCATATTGTGTGTCATTGTTGAATGCATCTACAAGTGATTCTGTGATAATATTATCCAATGTATGCAAACCTAATGTGTCGGGTGAGCGCAATTCATCGGTTGTTCTTTGTAATATATTCGTACCTGGACATGGTTGTGGATCAGCATCAATTGGAATTGTAGTCCCGACTGTACTTTCATCATTAGTAGTAACGAAAGGCGATTGTTGTTCGCTAAGTTGAGGTTCATAAGGAAGTATAATGCTTCTGAATGGAAAATCATGGTATGGACGAATTTCTAGAAAAAGAAATGAATACATATAGATATTTCATACGATCGATGAATTGAAAGCCTTTTGGTACAATGTCTATCGATTTCTCAACTATTTGGTGTTGTTCTTAGAAATAAAGTTACTTTCGTAAATAAGTGCTCCTCTAAATCTGCGTCTGATCATTCAAAATTCATCATCTCCATAAAGACTATTCGTTCATGTCTACTCATGGACTCATCTCGTTAAGGTTTTTTTTTTTTGAAAATGTTAAACATTACTAAACTAGTTTAAAAACAAGTTTCTTCTGCAAGTTGATGTATTAACCAAGGATTGGGCTTTTAGTTGCAACTATCCGCAAATAGTCCAATGCGAGTTATTATGATAATGAGAATGCTATTACAAAATTTCATTTCTTATAAAACATAATCGAAAATATCAAAGTGTATCAACAATCCTCATGAATAATACTGGTAAGTCATGTCAAGTAAATGTTTGATTAATCTATATTTGATACTCAGTGTCCATTTTTCAATGAGACAGGAGTCAATCGCTCAAAGATGTACTTTCAAAACCATTGCTCTTCACCAATGACAGGTTCTAATACTAACGTATTGACTTTTACTCAATAAAAAGAATAAACATTTTGTCGATAGCATATTCAAACTTATCGAGAGTTGTATCCAATAATGATTTGTGACTTGTCTGTATTTTTGGAGTTTCTGTATGTTATTTTTCAAAGCAGTAATTGTGTAGGTATTCATATAGAAATTCAATTACTTTTTAATGACGTCTAATGCTATTTCTATGAGGGAACATACATCACTGTGTAATACATTTTATTAAATCACCTTTATAGCAAGTTATATTATCGAAAAAAAGAACGAATAACAGTTTTGGATTGTATATAGTTTATCGTGAAGTAGATTAAGTATAGCCTTAGTTCATTTTGTGCATGTTTGACGAATATTGAATAAACATACATTTATCGAAAGCTCATAAAACACTGAAAGCAGTAGGAGAAACGATGGTTGTTTACTATCCAAAAAAAACGGTAGGTAAAACAGATAGATTGATTGATCATGACGAAAACTAATGTATTAATAAACTGTTTCTGATAAATGGAATCATCATCTTACGAGGGAACCATCCGAGGTGTCAACAAGCTTTTCAGTCGGGGATATGATGGTTAGATCGGGCATAGCTAGGAGTGATATACCCTAAGTTAGTTCGGGCCCAAGTTGCTTCTAACAGGAGTTATGAAATGTGAAATTTATGTATAAAAATGAATCAGGGAAGGTTTTTNCATCTTTAATGAGGTTTTGTGTAATTACTTGCCACTTTAAAAAAAAAAATCAAAAACGCAGTTCGATAGAGTAAATTTTTCTCCATAAGATAGGGTAAAATTTATTTCCTGCCCCTCTCAAAAATGTCAAGCACCAATCCATGAGCCTTTGCTATTGATTCACATTTTTCTTTATGTTTTTTCGGGTGAGAGTCCGTACCATTACATGAGACGGCAAACATGCTTGATTTTTACATTCTTTCAGTTCTCTCGTTTTGTCCTCTCTGCTTTATCAGCGCAAAAAGTAAAAGAAAAAGTAGCCATGAATACTACTGCTTTCACTGCAATAACATATTATTTTAGTTTTTCTTCCTATATACTTTCGAATTGCATGCAACCGAACATACACATATATTTCATCCACACTCGATAATAAAAGAAAAGTGTTTTCATAAAAAATAATTTTCTTAAAATTTTAGATAGCATGGGCGGTAGCATAGTGTCTTCTCCGTGGTTTTCGACAATAATAACAATTTCTATCGTTCTTATACTAGTTTTGATCTCTCTTATAATTAATTCATTTTCTTATCTTGACTACTATGAGTACGGTTTTCTTCGTCGTCGAACTACAGGTCGCGTTAACCTTGATCGAGTTTATGAAAGTGGACGATATTTTTTTGGACCAGATTATACGTAATCAGAATTTTATTATTAAATGATTTTTACTATGTTTTCATTTATCTAGTTTCAAAATATTCAAAGCTTCAGGACATCAAGTCAATCTTGATAATACATCGGTTTTTACAACAGATAACTTACAAGTTCATCTAGTGAGTTAACACTATATATTATAAATTTTATAAGTTTGATCGACCAATCTTTGTATACAATCAAACAATTTCCTAGTGAAAATAAAACATGAATTTAACAGATTTTTTTCTCCAGTATTAAAAACAATTCTTTGATGCAAAACATCACAATACTTGATTTCCTATTAAACATTTTGTACAAACAAAGATCTCAACTAGAATAATTCATAGCAAAAATTTCAAATATTTTCATGGCTTGTATTAGATATAGTTATGTGTTCCGAAATAGATAGAATAAAACAATTTTTCTGTATTTAAGTACAGTAGTTACATTGCGTTTTACATTTTAGTTTTGCGAAAATTGTACTAACAGCTATTTTTCTTTTTTCTTTTTTTTTTAGAAAATATCTTTTCAATATTATGTTATCAAAGAAGATTTGCCACTTCTTCATGCTGCATATGATATTAAATATGAACCAATTATTACTCTGAATGCTAAAGAAGCAATTATATCGACATGTTCTCGATTTGATACTGATGAATATATAAATAATCGAGATAAAATTTGGCTTGAAATTTATTTTGGTGTTAAACGTCATTTAGGTAAAAGAATAGAATATATATATAACTATAAATCAAAGAAAATTAATATTCTAGGTGGTTCTTGTTGTATTCCTAATTGTAAAAAAAATTGTCCAAAATGTCCTATACATGAACAATGTATGTCTGATTGTAAACCACGTGAACAAGGTTGTAAAAAAGAAGAGAAAGGTTTATTTGTTGAACTACGATATCTTCAATTGCATGGTAATGATTTTAAAGTTTTTTCTTTTAAAAAAAGGAAATCCATGTTTTTACTATACATTTAGATATTGATGTTCCTGAACGTGTCATGGAACGACGTCTTCTTGGTTTAGTTCGTGATTTAGAAAAAGAAAAAGAAGAATCTTTGAATCAAGAAGCTCTTGTTAAAAAACAAACAGATATATTAGTAAATCAATTTCATAATAATGCAACACAATCAATTGCATTTTCTGAATCTCAATCTAAATTAAAACGTGAACGAGCTAAAGCTGATGCACTTAAAACTATTTCATTAGCTCGAATTAATGGTTTAGCATCTATGTGCACAACATTAGGTATTACGCAAGCAAAACATATAAATTCTGTTGAATATTTACAGACATTAAAAGATTCAAAAGATAATATTACATACTCAATTGACTTCACTCATGCTATTTTACAAAATTCAAAATTAACATAATATGTGGGATTGAACACAACAATAATATTTTGCTTAAGTCAGCATTTCATTTTATTGAACAGTAAAGAAGAGCTTGAAATGAACTATTCTTCTTGAAAGAATTAACATAAGGCTATATTAAAAAATCTCGAATAGTTATAGCATTTTCATTTTTTTCGAGTGTGCTCATAGATAATTTTCAATTTTTTTTGTTTAATAATGTTAATTATGATTGTGAGTGTGTATAATAAATTTTTTTTTAAATTTCACTACAGTTATGGTTAAAAAGTTACTTTATGATAGAGATCCACTAGTTTATCGTGAAATCGGACCCAACGGATTCTGCATCAGAATTTGTATATATTAGTCTTCACTCATGAGATTTTATGTTAGCTTCAATTCTAAATCCTCATTTACAAAGTATTTATCAAACATTCTCGTTACTGTTGAATGAGGAATATAAATACATGAAATACTATATAAGCATATGTTACATATTGTTAACATATCTATTTTCCTATAATTAAATATTTGTTTACTATTATAAAGGAAATGTTAGCTGCATTTATCATAGTCTGATTATCAAAGTTATCATATATTCGATATAATCGTATCATCTTGACTCAATGAAAACACTAACCGAACTGTGATGTAGCTTATATATGATCGCTATTTATTCAAACCACACAAGGAAAATGATGTTATTTTAAAGTGAGTATGTTTGGTGATTTACTCATAGCACCACGTTTTCATCATCAAGTGAACAACTTAGTTCAAATAATTCAACTGAAAAATCATCAATATCATCTGATGGTTGTGTCTTAGCAATTTATAAAAAACCACATGAAAACTCTCTTCAATAAGTAACCTTATAGCCATCGATTTATTAGTATTGTTTTGCATGGAACCTCACATATCAAAGCAAGTGAGAATTTGATGAATCCAAATATCTTCATAAATTTACCAACAAAAGATTGATTATCCCATTGATAACTACAAATGCACAGTTGAGATAGAAAAATGTTCGTCATTGATTGTAATTGCCTAATCATACAGTCGATTTCTATTCATTGCAATAATTCATATTTGTCCAGTATTGATGGTGGTGCTTTAATATTCATACGTGTTATATCTGATTTATAACGTGCGATTGCTCAGGAAAAGCTTTTTAATGAGTAGAAATTTTAGTGAAATATTCTTTCTATTAATAATGCACTTAGTTCAACTTCAATGCATAAATCAGTCATATGATAACTATTACAGAACTGTTTATATGCATTTTCTTTATAAAATATTCCAAAAAAAAATACATCCCGATATTGTTCAGCTAAGTCAATCTTCAGATTTCCAGTCTTTGATAGCTATTGTGGATGCAATAGGTATGCGAAGTCGACGAGCTTCTTCAAATGCTGCTCAACACATTGGTATTTGTTCAAATTGAGGTGAAAACATTTAGACAAATACAGTATTATCATAGATCAATCTTCCAACAGTTGAACCATCATCAAGTGTCAAATGAGAATAGTACATTTATTTTCATCGTCAATAAGATTGACATTATTGTTCTCAATCTATGACTATCTTTTTCTTTTGTGAAGGTGACGTCTCTACAACAACGGCACTAGAAATAATTACTTCATCAGCAATATTGTTATTCGACAATTCACACTCCGTCGTTGTCTTTTTCTTCATAAAAAGAAATGAAAAAAATAAAAGGAACAAGCGGAAAAGGAATAGAAAAAGTTATTGAGAATATCATCATCCTTATACAACGCCAATTCACATTTCATAGATTCTAAAATTGCAAGGTGATGATGAGGAACCAATACTATTCGATAATTTTTCAAGTTTCAACTTCTTTGTTATTCAGTGATATTTTTTGTTTTCAAGCAAAAATGGCATTCTTGTGGTGTTTACTAGAGTGAAAACGCACACGACATGGTATCGTAAATTTCTAAGGAAAGCGACTTTAAACATTAACTCAGTATCTTTAAAATGCAGACGCCTTTAGAAAAGAACATATGACGTTGCTTTTACACCAACTCTATTTTTCAATATCTCGCTATTAAAAGTGCTTACATATAATTGTGCGCCATCATGTGACAGTACTAAAAGTTGTAGCAACCGAAATAATTTCAACATTATATGGTGATGTAGTCTCTACTGATCAATATGATCTAAATAGACACTCCTTTACATGAAACTAAAATGACACTATCAGACGAACCATAATTATCCGAATGTATTATGCATAAGAAAATCTACGCATTATCATGTAATAAATGTACTTCAAAGACATTCCCAGCATCTTATATCATTTATTAAAAAGAAAATAGTCACATTTTTAATACTATTGTCTCAATTCTAAGATGGTTGCCATGTCCATGTACCATATGAAGGATCTTGAGTAAAAACACGAACTACATCCGTGTGATCACATGGATTACAACCTACAGAATCTTTTTCTTGTTGTCTACAACAAACCCATCGGCCTTCTATAATATTACCACCAACATAGTATGCTCGATGGTTTTTGCAGCCACCATTTGTGTATTCATCAAATTGTTGATTACAACGAGTACATGTTTTGAAACGGCTTTGTCCAGCTTCAGCACTTATAGCATCACGTGCATCATCAAGTAAACAACGTAATTGAAATAATTCAGCTGAACAATCATCAACAACATCTGGTGGTTGTGCTTGAGCAAGCTTTCGTACAGCTTGCATAATGACATCAATCTAAAATAAGTATATACATCACAAATTATCATCTATAAATTCTTCAGATTATTTTTACTGTTGGCACACCGTTGATCAACGTCTCCAAAGCACTATAGGAGAAAATGTCATATTGAGGAAATCCTTGAATTGCTTCAAGCATCCATTGTTCCATTTGAATATTGCCTTCTGTTCGTATAATAACAAATGCTTTTCCACGTTTAACAGCATAGCGAAATTCAAGTTGACAATTAGCCGACTCAATATAAGCTTTAGATATAAAGACAAGTAATACTTTAGCACATTCCACACCTGACAAAAAATGCAAGTATTATAAAAAGAAATGAAAATTTTCATTAATGAATAAACCTGTAGCCATTGCTTCATTAGTATTGCCTTGCATGGAACCCCAAATATCAAACCATGTACGAATTTCACGCATTGACATATCTTCATAAAATTTCCGAACAAGATTTTGGCTATCCCATTGATAGCTACAATAAAAAAAAGATAATCATATGATAAAGTTTCATTGTCTTCGTCTCAATTACCTTATCATACAATCGAGTTCTCTTCGTTGCGGTAATCCATATTCATCAAGTAAAGGTGTTGGTGCTTTCATATCCATACGTGAAATTGAATGATGAATATGTGCAAAATTAAGCTTAGCACTTGGTTCTTCCAGTGTGACACGAACTGGTTGTCGATCAGTCATTAGATTCATAGTACGCGGTTTACGAGGTGGTGGCCATGTTCGTAATTTACTTTTACACTCCTCAATCTTCTCTTTTACTACTTTCATCTCTGCTTGTTCACGTTCAGCTTGACTCGGAACTGGTCGACAGGCTACCTTTATGTTTTTTTTTTGTTACAAGAAAGATTTTAATTAAGAATTTATTTTCATGACTTACTTCAACTTCAACACGTAAATCAGTCATACGATTACTATCATAGAATGGTTTATATGCATTTTCTCGATCAAATATTCGAAAAAATGTACATCCAGCAATTGTTAAACCAAGCCAATCTTCAGGTCTCCAGTCTTTGATAGCTATAACAGGTACAATAGGCTTTCGAAGTCGACGAGCTTCTTCAAATGCTGCTCGACACATTGGTGTTTGTTCAAGTCGAGGTGTAAGAATTGGTACAAATACAGCACATCGTCTTACACTAAACTTTGGATCTGCTTTTGAAAGATTTTCAAATCCAACATTTAGATTTTTTGTAATAAATTCATCATAGACCAATTTTCCAACAGTTGAACCATCATCAACTGTACAAATTAGAATAGTACATTCATTTATACCATCAATAAGATTGACATTATCGTTATTTTTTTCAATCTATGAATGAGATTTAAAAGTTTTATCTAAAGTTGTTTCTTAAACATACTTTATCTGGATCAATGACATTTTTGCTATTTTTCTTATTCTTTTGAGCTGAAATAACATTTGATAATTCTGTTATAACATTTTCAGATATGCTATCATTTGTCAATACCATTGATCGAACAGCACCAGCTGAAATGGCACCTAATGCACCATAAGGTTGAAAATTTGATTCAGTTAAAATGGCAACTATTGGTTTACGAAAATCTTTTGCATAGTTGATAGTCTCCAAGCAAAAGAATGTTCTTTGATATGCTCGACTAATAAGAACTATAAATACATCACACCATCGAATAAGATTAGCTCGAGCAACTATCGATGGAGGTGTTGTCTCAGTAATAATATAACATGCAAAGTTGTGATCTGCAAAACCCTTTCGTAATTTTTCGGCAATATTTTGTTGATTACTATGACACGTAATAAGAACATTTTTTACAGCTAAAATATAAGATCTCTAATAGAGAATATATAGGTTAACTTTTGCTTGACAAAGATTACCTGTGGACATTTTTGGTGCACTTGAAGCACTTTTTGTTGTTTCTTGTTGTTTCTGTTGTTGTTGTGATGGTGGTAATGTAGATGAAAAAGCTGCGTTAGAATTGAGTTGTGCGTCAGCGATACCGTTATTTGACGCCCCGCAACCCATTGAAGAATTTTTTAGTAATTGAAAGCGATGGAGTAACAGAAAGAGAAGAAAAAAAAACGAGAAAAAGAAATTTGTAAAGAATTACATAAACGATACGTAATAACAATTCGTTGTTTGTTTGACGTTGACAATTGCCATCATATTTCTTAGTTTTTTTTTCAAGGGCATGCTGTCTTTTTTAACGCATCTAAAAAAAGCAACACTGGCCTAGATTTGAAATATTTTTTTCAAAAAGAGTTCGCTAGGGTACCTAGTAAGCCAATCAACCA